CCGAGGTTCACCCTTCAGCCAAAGATCAGACAGTCCCATAAAACAAAACAAGATTAAAGGGGCATACCAGCCCAGAAGCATGGACTAGAAGGCAGGATGGAACAGGAAAGCTGGTAATAGGGAACCCAAGGTCAAGAAAGGAGAGTGTTGATATGTCGTGGGTTTGTTAACCAATGTCATAAAACAGTACGTGTACTGTTTAATGAGAAACTAGTTTGTTCTGTAAACTTTCATCTAAAGTACAATAATAAATAAATAAATTACTGGGAGTCACCACCCTTCTCCTCATCCTCAGTACTACAACCAGGGCCCATGCTCTGAATTGAGTGTATTACATGTTTCATTTTCTTAAAGTCCTCAAACAACCCTGTGAGGTAGGCACTATAATTATCCCCATTTTACTAACGAGGAACCCATGACACAAAGAGGTCAAATGATTTGGTTAGTAAATGGTGAAGACAAGACCGGAACTCAGACAGGCCGACCTGGCCCCGGCTCTTAGCTGTTAAACTCTCTCACACTGCACTGTACACCAGAGCATAACTTTATACTGTAGCTTGACGGTTACCACAGGGCACAACAACACACACTTCTCCACTGGAGAGTAGCTTCATGCTTTTTTGGAGAGACACAAAATAGGATAATACAGTATTACAGATGAAAATGACAAAGAACCACATTTCCCAAAATTTCTATATGCAGATTTGCAACAATAGCTTTTCATTAATGTAAGCTTTGCATTTAAAAGAGAATTTAACTTTGATGTATAACAGACAAATTACATTAAGATATTAAATCTGTAAGTCATTGTTAAAAAAGTTTACTTATTTTAAGCAAAGAAAACTTTCCAGTCTTTGATATATGTTCTTAGAAACATGAAAATAAAATTCCGTTCCTCAACTGTCCTTTTCCATTTCACACATATTGATCTTCCCATATGTTTTAAATAATGATGAAATTAATATGAACTGTTTTTAATAAACCCAAATCATAGCTCCTTTCATGTCAAAATATTTTGGGGAAGGCAGAGGTGGAAAAGCGTCTTAAGCATTAGGAAAGGCTAAGAACAATCAGGACCGGCTTTAGAAAGGAGGTGAAAAGATGGTGAAGAACTGGGATGGCAACCCTGGAAAGACCCGCAAGTTGGGGGCAAGCGTGCTCCTCTAATAAGGAGGATTCTGAAGTGGGGTGGGACTGAGGCCAGAACCCAGGTGCAGTAAAACAGAAGGGAGGAATAAACCAAGGACTGCTTGACAGATGTGTTAGCTTTGAATCAATGGAAAAGACATACAGTATAGAATAGGCCAGGTCTGCAAATGGGCACAAGTTCTTGATATTTCCTTGACTGTAGTTATTTATAAAAGGAGCCCTGGTGGCACAGTGGTTAAAGCACTCGGCTGCTAACCGAAAGGCTGATGGTTCGAACCCACCAGCTGCTATTCAGGAGAAAGATGTGGCAGTCTGCTTCCGTAAAGATATACAGCCTTGGAAACCCTATGGGGCAGTTCTACTCTGTCCTGTAGGGTCACTATGAGTCAGAATCGACTTGCTGGCAATGGGTTGAATGCTGGTCTAGTTGTGAAATGGGCAATGATATTTGCCTGACCAAGTGGCAGAGGAAACAACGGCCAACTTTGTGCAGTTTCGGGAGTGTTTACAATCCTAGCTTTGATCCCAGTGAGAGGGCAGGCTTCTAAAAATTTCATTGCTGAGAAAAACAAAGCATTTTTTCAACTACATTAATAAACCATAAATCCACACTGTATATGTACTGTGGGAAATACTAATTGATAAGGCCATTGGTTTAGCTATAAAATTAGGTTAGTATGATAGCAAAAAGTGGTTAAAACAATGCCACAAATAGTTGGTTTGGAATACACTACATATTGAATTCTGGCTGTTTGCTATATACATCTTTTTCTGAAGATAGAAATGATTATATTTCTCTAAATAGTGAATCTGCTGTAATATTAGACGAAACCATGACTTTACATAACCGTATCACAGAACACAGTGCAATTTGTGAAATATCTAGTTTACAAATAGTTTTTTAAATAAATAAATGTCTTCAATTCCTATAAGCACCCTTATGTTTGGAAAACAATTATTACTGTCTTACTTCAAATTCAACATTTGATTGATTAGTCACTGCTGACACACCTGTGATACACCCAGATTTAGGAAAGCATTTTGTAAAACCACACCATGACCATGCTCAGTCTTGCGGCAGTTGTAAAGCTCAATGGTGGCCCATGAACAACACGGCTAAGAATCATACAGACAAGCTTGCCACCCAGAGGCAGAAGTCAGAAATCCAACCCTGGATTTTATTTGTAAGACAAAACTGATAAATGTTAAATTATATCTCTCTACATATGTATTTGTTATTACTTATTAAAAATAAAAAAAAAATACAGGAAATTCTTTAGAAGGTTCTCAGCATGAATGAATCCTTCTAATGCCACACTACATAAAAGCATGGCTCTTTGAGAATTCTTTCACAAAACAGAAACAAGTCCTGAGATGGCAGTAGTCACAGGTGCACGGTTCATCAATTAAAAAATTGAACTTAACTGTATTCTCTACATTAAATGCTTTTTTCTCTTTATAATTAATATAACATGTGTTTCCAGAAGTACATATAAGTTCTGAAACAACCACCATAATCTATTTAGGCATGTGAGCCAAAGCCTAAACTAATTACCGGAGACATTTCTTACTTAAATGGGAAAAGTTTATTTCATTGGTAGTAGGCCTTGTATGCAATTTTCTTCTGGCAAAGGAATAAAGTTTATTTAGAGTAATTCTATTTGACAGAAAGTCAGGGCTTCCAAAATATATACCAATAATTATCAAGGTTAAATCAAAATAGTCAATTCTATTAAACACACATAAAAATTCAAGCTTCTAATGGCCTAAACAATAGGCTGGTTAGTAAATAGAGATTTATGATACCCTCATTTTATCTCAAAAATCTGGACATAGGAATTACTGCCAGCACTGGGTCATCATTTAAGATTCATGTATTTATGACAAACTACAAAAGACCACTGAGCTTTCACCTAACTGAAAACACGGCATACATTAAAATGTGAAAATATATTCAAGCATTAAACTTGAAAAACTCTTTTTTCTACACTATAGAATCATTTTTTTTGAAATTATGTTTTAGGTTTTGACATGCTGCAATATACTCTTATTTCATCTCATTTTATTATTTCATTTTCAATCTAACACACTTTAAAACAGAAAGATGATTCTAAAGCCAAACCCCTTTATGTGATGTTCTAGAAAACTCATTCCAAGGAATAGTAAATGTTTACTGCTGACTTCAATTTTATTTTTATTAAATAAGATTCTACAGCTGATTATTTCCAAGAAATTTTTTTTTTTTTTTTTTCCTGAAGAATCTTAGCAAAATACTGCTTTAGGGTAGAGCACTCTTAACTAAGCCTTCCTTTCTTGGATCAGTCACTGAGAGATCTCATTATCTGTGAGAGTTAATTCTCTTCCCAATTTATACCCCTTAATCTTCCACACGCCATGAGCTGCATCATTCTGCAAAAGACATTTTCATCTGCAATGATGAGTACAAAATAGCATGGAGTAAAGAAATTCTATCTTCACATCTCTACTTGTACATTTATTTAGGAAATAAATGAGATTATGAGTGTTTAAGTCCAGTCTGCTACATAGATGCCCTCTATACACACTGCCAAAACTGGGGGAAATAATGGTAAAGATAGCTCACGAGGACAGTATAGTTATTACTTCAGATAAAAGCTCGATGATTAAAGCTCAAGTGTTCATCAGGGGATATACTGTAAGCGATTTAAACAGGGCCCATAGGCTAGGAAGGGTCAAGTGCATTCTGAAGCAACAAAAAAGGCCAGCTAATCAGGAGCTTCATTCTCCTTTTCCACGTACCCTAAGGGTATCAAAAGGTCTGTGTGTCTGCATCATACATTCAAACAATAAAAGAAATACAGAAAGGACGACTCCTTGGTATGCTATGAGTGATTAAAGTTCACCGATAAGTATTCCCAATTTAAATAGAAAATTCTGGAACACTCCCTATGCCTCTAATTTTCCAAGAAGACCTACTGATAAAACTAAATATTTTCATATTTCTTGACTCTTCCCTATCCCTTTCTTCCCATTCCCAATGCTACATCTTAGTTCTCATCATTTTTAAAATCCACATTAGTTTAACCATGTCCTAATTATCTGTCTCCAGGCCCAACCTCCTACTCTACCACAGCCACATTCTCAAATCCATCCTCCAAGCAGAGTCCAGAACAATATCTGTGAGGTGCAAATCAATCACACCACTCTTCTGCTTGATACTCAAACATCAAGTCAAGAGCCAGGTGTCCCTGTTCTACAATCCCCCTCCCTATGTCCCTGCTGACAGGCTGGCAAAGGTCTTCCCAAGGATGAAATAGGGCCAGAGGGTGGCCACATTCCACCCCACACCCAGCGTCTTCAGGGAAGGGGCTTCAGCTAGTGGCTCCTTGGACCTTCTCTTCCAACTTAACCACCAAGTTCTTTGGAAGAAATTAAATTAACCCCTCATTAAGAAATGTCAGGATCCCCAATTTATGAGTGGGGTCTTTCATAAAACATGCTAACTCTTAAAACAACACTTTTCAAACATTTTTAACTAATCAGAATCCTTTTCTTCAAGCAATATCTAATGCAGATCCCCATAATAAGTGGCTTGAAACTGTTCTTGAGGCTGATAACATCGGCAGAGGTTAGATCCTGTAGAACAGTATAGGTCATGGAATAAAATTCAAATCTAGTTAGATGCAATGCAGTCAGTGGGGACATGAAGCAGGGATGTGATAAAACCTGACTTAAATTTTTGAAAGACCATTCTAGTTGCTGTCTGTGACAATTTCAACATTTCTGACGTATTTTCATCAACCCAAATACCTATAAGGAGTGATAACCACTTTCCAACTACTAGTAATGATTATACAGGAGTCATGGAATACCTGATCCTCGCTGGTCAGTCCAAGGTGCATCACCAGGTAAAAATGCACCAGGAAATCTGAGTTTGGCAGAACGTCCTGGCGTCTGGTCATCATGGCACAGATCAGTCTGTAGGCTTGTAGTTTGCCTTCCTTGTATTCATTTGGCAACGTCGTCGCCTGCCAAGGAGATGACGTTTAAAGATTAAATCAACTCCAGATGCAAAGCATTTCAACATTTCACTGACTTCTTGGTTGTCCCTAAGAGTCATTTATGGTGAAGTGGGATGCAGTAGCTTCCAGCCTGTCTTCGAAACATGCAGTCTTGGGCAATTACTTTTTTTTTAAAACTTAATTTCAGAAAGGAAGAGGAAATTTCTATAAAGGAATAAACACATATCCACTTGCCTTAAATAGCCATGATGCAAAGATTCTGAGTGGTGGGATCAAGACTGGAGGAGATGATGAAGACTGGTTATCCAGGCTTATGCCTAGATTATCCCGTATCTAACATAAAAAGAGAAGTTTAAGGAAGGTAACATTCAATTTCTCTTAGTGCTATCTGAATATTGTCTTCCATAGTCCAATAGCTGCTCCCAGTTAAATCTCTTTAAATTGCAGAAAAACCTACAATATTTACAAGTTTTTCTTTCATCATGAGATCTACTGTCCATTTAAACTGTATGTCTGGTTTACTGTACATTTTTAGATTTAAATACAAAACCAGGGCATTGTTTTTACTTGAATGTTAATGCCTGGACATGTCCTGAACTCTAAATAACAAGGAATAGTTTAACAAATTATACCGTACAAACATGAATCATGTTTTTGAAAAAAAATTTAATAACAGGGAAAGATGTATGCTAGAAACAAAAACCAGAATGAAAACTGTATGTACTCTAAGATTCTCCTTTTGTAAAGATGTGCTTATCCACAGAAATAAGACTATATTAATACCGGTTATGTCTATCAGACGGTGAAGTTAATATTTTTCAAATTTTGTGCAATAAAATATTCTATAAGTACCTCAGAAGAAAGGCCTGGTGATCTACTTCTGAAAAATTGCCACTGAAAACCTGACGGAGCACAATTCTACTCTGACACACATGGGGTCCCCATGAGTTGGAATTAACTCAACAGCAATTGGTTTGGTTTTTGGTTTTATAAAGAGAATAATTAAAACTGCTTAATACTCTATTTTTTTACAGGAGTCCTGGTGGCACACTGGTTAAGTGCCCACCTGCTAACCAAAGACTGGCAGTTGTAACTCACCAGCTGCTCCTCAGGGGAAAGATGCAGCAGTCTGCTTCCATAAAGACTTACAGCCTTGGAAACCTTACGAGGCAGTTCTACCCTGTCCCATAGGGTCGCTATGAGTCGGAATTTGACTCAACAGCAATGGGTTTGGTTTTGGTAAAGTAATATTCTACTTATGGGCTAAACGAAATAATTCTTTTGCATTTTTTACAATGGCCACTGTAAATGCTATTACTCTTTGATGATCAAGCATTAAAAAAAAAAAAACCAAACTCGTTGCCGTCAAGTCAATTCCAGTTCATGGCAACCCTTGTGTTACACAGCAAAACTGCTCCATAGGGTTTTCTTGGCTGGTAATCTGAAGGAAATCAGATCACCAGGCCTTTCTTCCATGGTACTGCTAGATGGGCTTGAACTGGTCGAGTGCAGATCATTTGCACCATCCAGGGACCTCTCTTTTTTAAACACTTAATACGTTCAGTAGTTAATTGCAACACAGTTTTCACATTAAGTGATAAATAAATTTTCTCATATTAGAATAAAACATAAGGTAGTAGGACATACCTTTGCTAGTTTGTACCAGAGTTCATAGAGATAGCCAAAAACTTTGGCATGGATCTGGGGTGACTGGATATTATTCACATCCCCGAGGATTCCCAAGACTCTTCGCCATAGCACAGCGGCAGAGTCTGGGTGCCAGCCAGTGAGATTCCCTCCAGCAATGATGCTACAGTCATCAGCAAGGCATTCACTGCTATCTATGGAGAAAAATGTGTGTATTGGCCATGGGAACACAATCTTTATTTCATCAGCACAATCTTTTTTCTTTAATACAAATCATCTATGTTAAAAATTCATGTATTCAACAAAGAAAACTACAAAATACTACTGCAATAAACCAAAAGAGACCTACATAAATGGAAAGATATACCATGTTCATGGATAGGAAGACTCAACCTTGTGAAAATGTCAATTCTACCCAAAGTGATCTACAGATATAACGCAATCCCGATCTAAATACCAACAGCATTCTTCAACAAGATGGAAACTAATCACCAAATTTATATGGAAAGGAAAGAGGCCCTGGTTAAGCAAAGCATTATTGAAGAAAAAGAACAAAGTAGGAGGTCTCACACACTACCTGATCTCTGAACCTACTATATACCCACTGTAGTCAAAACAGCCTGGTACTAGTACAAGAACAGACACATAGACCAATGGAACAGAACTGAGAAGCCACACGTAAATCCACCCACCTATGGTGAGTTGATTTTTTGACAAAGGATTAAAGTCCATCAAGTGGAGAAAAGACAGTCTTTTAACATATGGTGCTGTGGTAGTTAAGATTGTGTGTCAACTTGGCTAGGCCATGATTCTCGGTGTTTATATGTGATCACTCCCATGACTGAATATGCTGTGAGTAGTCAATCAGTGGAAAGGGAGTTTCCTTGGGGGTATGGCCTGCATCTGAATATAAGCAGACGTTCTGGCTTTTTGCTCCCTCTGGATTCTGCGGCTGCCTCCTGTTCATCTGACCTCTGGTTCTTGGGACTTGAGCTATAAGCTTATCTGCTGATCCCGGGATTTGTCAATCTTCACAGCGTGTGAGTGAAGTCCTGCTTTCCAACCTGCCCATCCTGGGTTTGTGAGCCCTCGTGGCTATGTAAATCAGGAGAAGCCTCTATCCTAATCCATGGACTTGAGACGTTCTAGCCTCTACAATTGTGTGAGCTGTTTCTTTGATATAAAACTCTCTATATATATATCTTTATACGCTTTACTGGTTTTGCTTTTCTAGAGAACCTAGCCTAAGAGAGGTGCTGATAAAACTGGATGTCCATCTAAAAAAAAAAAGAAACAGACCCATACCTCACACCATACACAAAAACTAACTCAAAATGGATCAAAGACATAAATGTAAAACCTAAAATGATAAAGATCATGGAAGAAAAAATAGGGACAAGGCTAGGGGTCCTAATATATGGCATAAATAGAATACAAACCATGACTAACAATGCACAAACACCAGAAGATAAACTAGATAACTGACAGCTCCTAAAAATTAAACACTATGCTCATCAAAAGTCTTCAACAAAAGAGTAATAAGAGAACCTACAGACTGGGAAAAAGGTTTTGGCTACAACATATCCAACAAGGGTCTAATCTGTAAAATCTAGAAAACATTTTGACACCTCAATAAGAAAAAGACAACCCAATTAAAAAATGAGCCAAGGAAATTGGCATGACATAGCTTATAAAGACAATGCTCTACATTCTACCTTGGTGAGTAGTGTCTGGGGTCTTAAAAGCCTGTGAGCGGCCATCTAAGATACTCCACTGGTCTCATCCCTTCAGGAACAAGGGAGAATGAAGAGAACAGGATACAAGGAAAAGATTAGTCCGAAGGACTAACTGTCCACAGCTACCAAGGCCTCCACCGGACTGAGTCCAGTACAGCTAGATGGTGCCCGGCTACCACCACTGACTGCTCTGACCAGGATCACAACAGAGGGTTCTGGACAGAGCTGGAGAAGGATGTAGAACATAATTCTAACTCACAAAAAAAAGACCAGATTTACTGGCCTAAAGGAAACTGGAGAAACCTCGAGAGTATGGCCCCCAGACACCCTTTTAGCTTAGTGGTGAAGTTATCTCCGAGGTTCACCTTTCAGCCTGGGAGTGGACAGCCCCGTAAAACCAAATGAGACTAATGAGGTACAGTAGTCCAGTGACAAGGGCCAGAAAGCAGAAGGGGACAAGGAAGCTGGTGACAGGGAAGCCAAAGTTGAGTAAGGATATTGTTGATGTGTTGTGAGATTGTTAACCATTGTCATAGGGCAACATGTGTAGTAACTGTTAAATGAGAAACTATTTTGTTCTGTAAGCCTTCATCTTAAGTGAAATAACAGCACAATTGGAAGAGCATAGTCAATGTCACTGAACTGTGCATGTAGAAATTTTTGAAATGGTGTATCTTTGGCGATATGTATTTTCACCCCCAAAAAAGGTTGAGAAGTTAGAGGGTTGACATGTTTTGGGGTTGTTAACCAATATCATAAAACAATACGTGTACTACTGTTTCATGAGAAACTATTTGTTCTGTAAGCCTTCACCTGAAGTACAATAAAAAAATTAAAAAAAAAATGAGCCAAGGATATGAACAGACACTTCACCAAAAAAGACATTCAGATGGCTAACAGATACATGAAGAAATGCTCACAATCATTAGCCATTAGAGAAATGCAAATTAAAACTACAATGAGATACCATCTCACCCTGATACTACTGGCACTAATAAACACACACACACACACACACACACACACACACACACACAAAATAACAAATGTTGGAGAGGTTTCAGAGGAGACTGAAACTCTTATGCACTGGTGGTAATGTAAAATGGTACAACCACAATGGAAAACAATATGGTGCCTCCTTAAAAAGCTAGAAATAGAAATACCATACGATCCACCAATCCCACTCCTAGGAATATATCCTAGAGAAATAAGAACTGTTACACGCATAGACATATGCACATTTATGTTCACTGCAGCATTATCCACAACACCAAAAAGATGGAAACAAGCTACATGCCCATCAACAGAGGAACTGATAAACAAATTATGGAATATACACACAATGCAATACTACACAACAATAAAGAACAAAGATGAATCTGCAAAACATTTCACAACATGGATGAATCTGGAGGGCATTATGCTGAGTGAAATAAGTCAGTCACAAAAGGACAAATACTGTATGAGACCACTATTATAAAAACTAAAGAAAAGGTTTACACACAGTAAGAAACAATCTTTGATGGTTAAGAGAGAGGGGAAGGGTGAGGAAGTCACTAACTAGTTAGTAGACAAGTGTTAACTTTGGTGGGAGGAAAGATAACACAAAATATAGGAGTAGTTGGCACAACTTGACCAAGGCAAAGTCATAGAAGCTTCCTAGACACATTCAAACACCTTGAGGGACCAACTTACTGGGGCTGAGGGCTGCGGACTATGGTCTCGGGGGACATATAGGTCAACTGACATAATGCAGTTCGTAAAGAAAATGTTCTACATCCTACTTTGGTGAGCAGCATCTGGGGTCTTAAAAGCTTGGGAGCAGCCATCTAAAATACATCTATTGGTCCCACCACATTCAGAGCAAAGGAGAATGAAAACAAAAACACAAGGACAATAGTAGTCCAAAGGACTAATGGACCACATGAACCATAGCCTCCACCAGCCTGATCCCAGAAGAACTAGATGGTGCCCCGCTACTACCACTGATGGATCTGACAGGGATCACAAATAGAGGGTTCCAGAAAGAGTGGGAGAAAAATGTAGAACAAAATTCAAATCCACAAAAAGACTAGACTTACTAGTCTGACAGACACTAGAGGAACTCCCAAGACTATGGCCCCCAGACACCCTATTAACTCAGAACTGAAGCTACTCCTGAAGTTCACCTTTCAGCCAAAGATTAGACAGGCCTATAAAACAATTACACATGGAAGGAACATGCTTCTTAGTTCATTCAAGCATACAAGACCAAACGGGCAACACCTGCTCAAAAATAAAGACAAGAAGGCAGGAAAGGGCAGAAAACCTAGACAAATGGACATGGGGAACCTGGGGTGGAAAGGGAAAGGGGGAGAGGGTGGACACATGGCAGGGATTGCAACTAACATCACAAAACAATTTCTGCATAAATTTTTGAATGAGAAACTAATTTGCATTGTAAACTTTCACCTAAAGAACAATAAAAACTTTTTTAAAAATCATTAAAAAAATTTATGTATTCAGAGTAAAATAATTAAAATGTGAAATGGACGAGAACTTCAAAGGATAGAAAAGCAAGATCAACGAAGGTCAAATGATATTGATTCTTAAAACTAAAATGGCAATAACCTAGAGATGACACAATATAGTTCCTGGAGACCCTGTGAAGGGTTTTATAAATCAGAGATGGGGAAAAGGGAAAACCCTGAACAAGCTGGGTAGAGGACAGTGTCATGAAAAATAGGTTGTCAAGGAAGGTCATCATGGCTGGAGTGACACTTGTGGGTGGCAGTAAGTCAGGTTTACCCAAAAACCAACTCACTGCCATCGAGTCGATTCCGACTCTTAGCTACCCTACAGGACAGAGCAGAACTGGCCCAGATGGTTTCCAAGGCTTTAATCTTTACAGGTGCAGATCACCATATCTTTCTCCTGGGCAGCAGCTAGTGGATTCAAACTGCCGACCTTTTGGTTAGCAGCCATAGCTCGCTGCAGCTGTTAACCACTGCGCCATTCTGTGATTGGGAAACTCAATATAGTTAAGATGTCACTACTACCCAAAGTAATCTATAAATTCAATGCAACCCCAATAAAAATTTCAACAATCTTCTTCTTCTTCACAGAAATGGAAAAACCAATCCTCAAGGAAAGGCAAGAGGCCCCAAACAACCAAAGCAATTTTGAAGAAGAAGAACAAGGCAGGAGGACTCACACTTCCTGATTTTAAAATTATAATAATCAAAAGAGTCTGGTACTGGTATAACAACAGATGCATAGAATAATGGCATAGATTGACAGTCCAGAAATAAACTCATACATCTATGGTCAGTTGATTTTCGACAAGGGTGCTAAGTCTATTCAATGGGGAAGGAAGAGTATCTTTAATAACTGTTGCTGGGAAAATTGGATTTCCAAACGCAGAAGAATGAATCAAGATCTACGCCTCACACTATATACAAAAAACAATTCAAAATGGA